TTGAGCGCTGGTCTGGGGTTATTTAATAATTAGGGTTAATTAGAACGCTGGTTTCTAATTAACTAAAATTAAGGAGAAATAGGAATCAATTCCAACGATGAATATTCGAAATATGAATTGAATTATCCTTGTATCTATGATCAATTGTGGATTTCCGATGGTGGATGTGGACTTAGACCAAGGTTAGTTATTTGATTGATTTCGTTAATTTAATTTTCATTGTTATTGATTATGTTATTTACAATTGTTGAATACAAAATCCCCCCAATCATTGTACGAAGCATAAAATATTGAATTAAACACTCTTCGTGGGATCGACCCTTACTTCCACTACTACATTAGTTTTAGAGGTTTAAGGACTATTTTTGGTTGCTTGCGACAGCACACCATCAATCCTCTTAACAGCTCTCCAATTCATGAGATAGATAATCATGTCACGGAATCACCCTTACCAGAACCACAAGAACAAACCACAGAGCTTCCTCACAACACCATCAACAACCAGTCTTTAGCCAGAAAATCTTCAAGAACCAGAAAAGCTCCTACTTACCTAGAGGACTACATTTGTCAACAGCCCACACTTCCCTCATCACAGAAGTTGGACAAGCAAAGGAATCTTATCACTTCGGGTAGCCCTTTTCCTCTTAATGCTACTCTGTCATATCACAGATTTTCTAACAAGCACAAAGCCTTTGTCACAATTATATCCACACACCTTGAGCCTAGCACATACCAAGAAGCTCTTTCCTCACCTCACTGGTGTGAAGCTATGAAGGCTGAAATAACTGCTCTTGAAGAGAATAACACCTGGACTATAATAGACCTTCCACCTGGTAAGAAGCCAATTGGATGCAAGTGGGTATATAAGGTGAAATATAAGGCTGATGGCAATATAGAAAGGCATAAAGCAAGGCTCGTAGCAAAGGGATACACACAGCAAGAGGGCCTAGATTTTCATGAAACGTTTTCTCCCGTGGCTAAGATGGTAACTGTGAGAGCACTACTTGCAATTGCAGCTGTAAGAGGTTGGCATTTACATCAGTTTGATGTGAATAATACGTTCTTGCACGGCGATCTAAATGAAGAGATATATATGGAGATTCCTCCTGGACATCCCAATACAGGTGGTTCGAAGGTATGTAGACTTATCAAGAGTTTGTATGGACTTAAACAAGCGTCCAGGCAGTGGTACTCCAAGCTATCAACTTTCATCATCCAACAGGGATTCACTCAATCAAAGGCCGATTACAACCTATTCACAAAGTCAGCAGGGAATTCTTTCATTGGGATCCTTGTGTACGTGGATGATATAATTGTAGCAAGTGATAGTTTGGACAACATTAATTCTCTCAAAGGTTTGCTTGACAAAAGATTTAAGATCAAAGACTTGGGATTGCTGAAATATTTCTGGGGAATAGAGGTTGCAAGATCTGATGCTGGGATATATATTTGCCAACGAAAATATGCTTTAGACATACTATCTGATTCAGGAACAATAGGTTGTGCACCAGCCAGAGTTTCTTTGGATCAAAATGTGAAAATATCCAAAGATGATGGAGAGGCTCTATCTGATCCTACAGTTTACAGAAGACTCGTTGGGAGATTTTTATCCTTAACTATCACTAAACCTAACCTCTCCTATTCAGCCCAACTGTTAAGCCAATTCATGAGTACTCCCCGCACTACTCACTTGAAAGTTGCACACAAAGTATTGAGGTATATTAAAAGAGCTCCAGGGCAAGGATCGCTGTTTTCTTCGCATTTAAAACTCCAACTTAATGCTTACAGTGATTCAGATTGGGAAGTGTATCTTGACACGCGAAGAAGTGTAACAGGGTATTTTGTTCTTATTGGCTTATCACTGGTGTCATGGAAATCTAAGAAACAGGATATTATAGCTAGATCTTCAGCTGAGGCAGAGTACAGAGCAATGACAAATGTATGTTGTGAATTAACATGGCTCAGATACCTTTTCCAAGATCTTAAAATAGGTCATCCTCAAGCAGCCAATTTGTTTTGTGACAACAAATCAGCTTTATATATAGTTGCAAATCCAGTCTTTCATGAAAGGACGAATCACATAGAGTTGGATTGCCATTTAATACGAGATAAAATACAAGAAGGAAGTGTGATCACTAAACATCTTAATACTAAGTCTCAGATTGCTGACATTTTAACTAAGGCTTTAAGGTCACGTCAGTTTTATAAGCATATGGACAAGATGGGAGTTTATGACATCCACTCTTCATCTTGCGAGGGGATGTTGAAATATCAGGCACAACTCCTGAAGGATTAGCAAGAAGAAAATCAAGATATGGAAGATAAAGACCAAAGGAATACTTCTGCTGTGGAAGGAAGAAGGGGACTACAATTCTGTTAGCATATTCACGGTTGCAAATCTGTTTGTATAGCTAGCTATTTACATTTTCTTTTATGTAGAATATAGCATAAATTCTACCTTCTAGATCCTTCTCACCAAATGTATATATACCACATAGTGATATACAAATTACAGAGAACAATTCAATGAAATTACTTTCTCCTCTCCAATTTCTGTGTTGAGCATTGTTACATTATCTACTTTCATTTCTATCTGAGATTTTACACAATCCGAAAACGGTCATCCTCGCTCAGCTGCTGTCCTCCGTGTCAGAAATCGCAGCGGCCAACAATTCAAAATTAAAGAGCAGAACATACGCAAATCATATGGTTAAAAATCAAAGAGCAAAAGAAGAATGGGGAGTCCAGAGGGAGAAGCTGCAAGAATCAAGTCTCGCCCTCTAGCATCATGTTCTTTTCTTCAATTTCTTTTGTTTTTTCGATTAAGTTCTGGAATTTTTGAAAATTAAAGCAATAAAATTGATGAAAATATTGAATAAAATTTTGGCAATTTGGCTGCTTCGCTAGTGCCTTCAGGTACTACCACTGTAGGTTTCGATGGCAATGTTGGAAGCTCAAGAGTCGACTCTACTCACATCAATCCGTGAACTTTTGTGAAGGAGAGAATGTAATCATCGTCATTGCTGTGGAGGAAAAACCCAGAGAATCCCATAACCACAACACATTTTTCTTCTCTAAATTGAAATTGAAGATAATTGGGAGGTTATCGGAGAAATTTATAGTTTATTGGAGAGAATGAAAGAGCAAAGTATATTTAAGTTCGGTGAGCAGTGCATGGTCATGGTATAAATTAAGTAATTTTTGAAACAATTCACTCCCATCCCCACCCCTAATTGTGCCATTTAAAAGTCAGGCCACCCCAAAACCAAGTTGTATGCATGCTTGAATGAGATGCCTTCGCCAAGATATTATATGGACTTGTTTGGCAAGATTTTTGAAAAGCCCAAAATTGTTTCTAAGACAATTATTTTCAGATATGTACAGATAACTTTTCGAAAGTACTTTGTTTGGCTAGAAAAACTTTTCAAGGAAGCTAGTCCTATTGTCCGAGGTGACTTCCTCAATAAACTCTTCTACCAAAAAAAACATAATTTAATGTTAAACCTAGAACCAGTACAAATTGATCTAAACACCTCGAAGATTAAGGACCGAAGACAACCAAGACCTCAGGCCATCTAATTTCCTAGTTTCTAGACGGCCTACAAGGCCAGTAATAAGTCAAAAACTTTCACCTGCATCAACAATAACACTAATGAGTTCACCACAAAATAATCAAACAGATAGCAGACAAATGCATAAAAATAAAGAATCCAATTGTCAACGAGAAGCAACCGTGTTAAATTTACAGTTCCCAATGCTCGGAAGTTAGTGTGCTTTATAACAAAATTAAAAAACAAAGACACAACAAAATTACAAGATTCATAGTAATACATGAGCAAGTCACCAATTTATTTGAAGGGATTTGCACGTACATATGCACCTGTTCCCGAGTGCGTGACCCTCCCCCTTTCTTTTAGAGAGAGCACTGCAGAAATTTGAAGCTGAGGACTACTATATTGTCATATCACATAAGCCTATTAAGGTTAGTTCCTGTAAGTGAAAAAACTTTCAAGAATATGGAGCCTTGCTAGTGTACCATGTGTTTAAAAGTTCCATGTAAGCAACTTTATTGGTCAAATTTAATCCATGAGCTTATATCTTTTCTCCTGGACACCACTGACTCCCATTTGTATCTCTATAATTGTATGAAGCGGAATCTGCAAATTACAAAACCGAAATTTGAAGCTTCTTTGCATCTCAAGCATTTTTAAAAATCCCTATTCTCTGAATTAGGACCAGTAAGATTGTTGTGATAAAAGGAACAATGATATATTATTATATCATTAAAGCATGTACATGCTATAAATGTTGCAACTGAAAAGAACTCTTACTAGTTAATTGCAAAAACAATTTGAATAAGAATTTGTCACTTCAATTTCATGCATAAAGTACAGGTGAATAATCATCTACCAGTATCAATCGACATGCAAAAATTACCTCTATGTGGGGAATTTCTTTCAATGGCCTATCAGCAAAATATGCATACAAAGCTCTCAGTACCGCCTACAAGAAAGTATCATATAACAACATTTTAGCACTCTGAGACATGGCCATTTTGGGACAAGACTTCAGTTTCATATTGAAAAGTTAAACCTGGTGAGACACCACCACAACAGGAGCTCTTTGTCGCTCAAGTTCAATAATCACAGGTTCTAACCTGAAAGATGCCCAAAGGCAAATAACATTACCCAAGCATAATAAAAAGATAAACTGAATTTTTCCAGGAACAATTAGCAATGAATTTCAATGCAAACCTCTGTATAACATCTAGATAAGATTCCCCACGAGGATATCTATATCTCAATTTTTCCTTTTTCCGTGACCTGTGATATTAGCACAATGAACCTTTAAAACCCAGTGGCTTCAAGAAATACCCCCCGCCACGAAAAAATTTGAAAATAAATAAATAAACGAAGAAAATAAGAGAAATATAGAATGGACTTGACAAGAATACAGTTCGAAAAATTCAGTACACGATGTTGAATAAAAGCTTACATATCAACAGTGGATAACTATGAGGAGAGTATCAGTCAACTAATTGATAACAATGACAATTTTTTTTTTTTTTTCATTTAACAGGATTTGTGCATGAAAAATAAGACTTGACAACAAAAACATAGTATTCACATATCACATTGCTTGCTAATTTGGTCAAATTATATATGTTGACGCAACTGAGGTTCCGAGATATTTAAGGATCTATCAACATTTTGTTTCCTAGTTTAGTAGTGTCTTATTTTCTCTCCTTCCATTGGCGAGGCTAATTTCCTCTGATATCTAGATGTCTGTTTTAGACTTAGATATTAAGAAAATTAAGCCCATGGCTTCTATTGTTCCTTTAAGAATACAAGGGCTGCTCAATTACACCCCAAAAAAGGCCTTCATTAACACAACAAATGCTTCTACCTCAAAGGATCCTTTTCTCATGCTTCTGTTGCCATCAAACCTAAAGATGATCCAGAACTCAACAGCAAACAAGGAAACAGAACTTGGATAAGATAAGAACACCAAAGTGTCTAGCCAAAAGACTTGATATCTTATTAACTAACAAGATTTATAAGGCAGATGTGGACCCATCCACATGCCGCAGGTAGTCTCATGGAAGAAAGTACTTTCAATTCCAGGAATGATAAATGTTAAGATTTTGGATTTCATCTTAAAAGGTCAACCTTATTAAGAGAAGTAACCCAAACCTTTATAAATTGGTCTACATTTTCATCTTATTCGATATGAGATTTTATCTCTTAACCTACCCCCGCAAAATGGTGGCTCGTTTGAGCAGGCTAATCTTAAAATTCGTATGCTCATCTTTTGAGTCTTAATCGGATTAAATCACTCGTTTGAGCTTAATAGACTATGATACCATATTAATATTTGGGGTTCAATCTTAAAATGTGAACCTTATTAAAAGAAGTAACCCAAACTCTTATAAGTTGGTCTACATTTTCATCTTTATTCGACGTGGAATTTTATCCCTTAACAATAAATTATTTAAGGATTTTCATGATTATCGTGATGGACGCAACACAGGAAAATTTTCCTGTTCACCGTCAGGCAGGATCTTGACTACAGAGTGAGCTCACAGTTCAAAAATAGTTCTCCTGGAATCAGTATATAACAACTGGATAGGAGACATAAACAATGTTTAGATCTGTCAAGATTGTATATTTAAAATGTATTGAGGATCATGTTCTGCAAATCTCAGGATTTATCATGATACCAAGACGGAAAAATGAATCTTAATAAAAATAATTTACATGTGAAGATGCTAGTCTTATTTGATTGACAATGAAACAGTGTTCAAAATAATCACTAGGCTAGACATCCATCACAAATATCATAGTTTCAAGTCAGATTATACTATGCTACATCCATGCACAAATATACCAAAGAGATAAAAATAAAATTCAAAGAACTGAAGCATACTCATATTCCTCGGGCATATTTTTCTTTATTTCTTCATAAGTCATCCCATCACATACACCAGCATTAATCTCTTCAAGTGCACGCCATTGTATCTACAAGTGAAGATACAATGACGAAGATAGTTAACTAAAGCACCGATGGGAGCATCACTAGCGAATGACTGTCATTTATGGTTTAATCAGATAATAGCAGTTATCACAACTAACCTTCGGGAATCCAACTATTGGACTAGCAGTTATAATTGTTCTCTGCAACGTACTGGTCCATATCTAAGCCACGAGAGAAACATGATTTCAATAAATATTGAACTTAAACTGGTAATTTTATGCAACGTTAGCTCCAGTCGATATTCAAGGAATAATAAATTTTAACAGAGAAAAGATGCTATTATTCAATATCAGAAAACTCATTGAGATGACTTTTATTCTTCAAACGGACATTTGAACTAAAGACAATAGTACAATGACCAGCAAGCAATATTTATTCAAGAAGAATAAATATAGAGCCATCTTATGCCTCAGCAGTGACATTGAAATATAATCTCATAAGCCACGATACCGTGATCTTTGAAGCTCGAACTCTTTGAAATAGTTGGAGTACCCGAGTCGGACACGACACGACATGGGTATGTGATGTGTTGGATCCTCCAAATTTCAACCGGACACTTTGTTGTTTTTGCTTCTTCTTCCTTTTTTTTCTTTTCCTTTTCTTTCTCTTTTCTTCTTTTCCACTTTTGCTCTCTATAAACCTAACGTCGTCGCCGAGAGGGTGGAGAAAGACGGCGACGCTAGGTTTTCCCTTCTTTTTCTTTTTCTTCTTTCTTTTTTCTTTCCATTTTCTTCTTTTTTTTCCTTCTTTCTCTCTCTATATCGATGGTTTAGAGTTTTGTTTGTATAAAATGAAATAAGTAGTGCTATTTGGTGCTCCACTAAATCCAAATTACAATCAAATTCCTCATTTTCTATTTTTTATAACATTTAGTAATTCTCATTATTGAAAACTAAACCCCAAAATTCTATTTTATTCGTCTTCATCCCTTATTAAGACCATGTTTGGTACACATTATTTTTTTCATTCTCATTCTTCCACTCATTTTCAACCACACATTCTTCAATAAAATAATATTTTCCATCACATCAATAACTTTTCCTTCTTTTTCAACCACATATTCCCCATCACATCAACAGTAAACATGCATTCTTACCTTCAAAATGTGCAAACCTGAGGGTTTGTGGAGATTGCCATACTGCTATCAAACTAATTGCAAAAGTCACGGGCCGAGAGATCATCTTAAGGGATGCGAATAGATTTCACCATTTTAAGGATGGTTTATGTTCTTGCAAGGATTATTGGTGATCAAGAATTCCAATACCCATACCGACCAAAAAAAAGAAATTTTATATTATATTAAACTAAATGATTGTGAAATTGTTGAATACTGGTATATTAAGGCCCTCTTTGGTACACATTATTTTTTTCATTCTCATTCTTCTATTAATTTTCAACCATACATTCTTCAATAAAATAATATTTTTTATCAAATCAATAACTTTTCCTTTATTTTTAACCACATAATCTCCATTAATCTAGTATTCAATAATACATTCTTTCAAAAGAATGTGTTCCAAACACACTCTAAATACTCATTTCCTTCATTGTGAATAATTAATTTTGGTCTATTCAAAATGACATCTTGTGTTAGTAAAAAAATTTGAAGTTTAAAAGGCGTACCTACGTACTCGTGTCCGAAATTTGGATTCTTTTTAGCCATGTCCCCATATCCTACATTTTAGAAAATAAAATATCCGACGCTGAAATACGTACCCGTACCCGAGTCCGACCATCATAGACCGTGACGACATGACCTTATATCCACCCGGACATGAAATATCTTGCAGAATAAGATTATAGGTGATGGAGTATTTTTTAAATTGTAGTTTAAGAAACATTATTATGATTTGATTAATGCTTTTACAATATTTTCTTACTTAGAATAGGGTCATTTAAAACCCTATATAAAGGGGACTATGCGATGTAATCAACACAACTTTGAATAAATAAAAATTAATACATTTCTTCCCCAATTTCTCTCTATTATCTCCCTCTTCATCTCTCTTTCCCCCCTCATTTCTCTTCCTCTATTCCTTTTCCCCTTCTCTTATAATTGTTCTTGTTGGTTCTTGCACCAATAGGTTATTTCAAGAAAGAAAAAAATCACACAGAACAGATTATACGCTTAATATTAGAGAAACCGAAATAACCTAATTTGTAATCTTGCCCACACCCTCTACCCTTGAAGCCTTTCAAAAAGAGGCAAAACAAGAGAGCACTACATTTTCAAACACCATCAGTGCCAACATTACAAACGGTTTAAGAAATTGACATGATTTATATCTAAGCCAAAACGGACAATAAAAAAATGTACTATTTCAGCAATAAATGGATCAGATCCAAGAGATTATTATCAAGTTATAAATTTGTGACTTCCAGCTGGCCAAAACGAATATGGCTGTCTATGAAGTTAAGATATTTTCTCAGAGAATACTTCATTCGATTATTTCAACAACAGAGACAATTCCAATCAACACTGTATACGAGGCAGGGCAAAGAAAAATTCTAACCTTAAAATTCAGAACAGAAGAACTATATAAAAGCATTTATCCAATAACACATCTAATTCAATCTTTAAACCCGAAATAATTCAATCTCTAAACCCGAAGTTTTTAAATTGGTGAAACTTACAGAAGCAGCCCTTTCATTTTTCAGACGCTTTTCAACAAAATTAGCAAGTTTCTTTGCATAAAGCTCTCCAGTATCACTGTCAAAGGGTATTAGCATGTTAGATTAGGTAATGGAGGGCAATAAGCCTACAAAAGAAATCAGTTCATATCAAAGCTGTCATCTCAAAGAAGTACAAGAACAAATATTGGTCAGTAGATAGTCGAAATTTTATAGTTTTATGCTAGTGGAACTCCATGACATCTAAAGATAAAAGTATAATGATGGTTCGTTGAAGAGCTATAACGACCTTCCACCACACCTAAATGGCATTAACATGGCTCCCTTAGCCTTGAAATTCCATTACGGAACCATAATTTGCATAGAGGGTCAAGTCTACTCTCATATGCATTTTGCTTATTTCGAATATTTTTAGTGGTATTCGGGTTGCTAATACAACGACTTGAGACAGTATAGTATCTTCAAGCAAAAAATGTTGAAGAACAGCTATCGGACTTATGCATTGTCTGAACAAGAATAAATTAACCAAAGAGGGATCTTCAATTTCAACACCAGACTCATGGAAATTAAATCAGAGACTCAAAATAGTCTATGGAAATTGAGTTGAAAATTTAACATAATGGAAAACAAAGAACAGAGAACCTCAACACACTGTCACCACCAATTCTGCCTCTAACATTATCCCGGCTCTCTCCATGCCTAGTAAGCAAAATTGGTCTTGGCGTCAGATGTGTATTCACCTGCAAAATGGTAAGCAACACAATCTGAAGTTATATATTTATTAATATATTTAAAGCTGCATGAAAAGAGAGAAAATATATAAATGCACGAAGAGCACATGAAGTGAAAAACATAATATTTTCTTAGCTCATACCTAAGACGAATGTTAGAGAGCAAAACCTTTCCCCCCAGATCTTTTTACAATATTTAATAAGATGCAAGTTCAAAATATAGATAGGCAAGCAGCATACAGCTTGAAGAAACAAATTTAGAGAAATTTAATGACCCAAAATATGCCAATTGCAACAGTAACGGGAAGAGAACAACATATCTAAAGTACCCCGGGGTCGTTGAGCTTGTTTTTTTTTATAGGTAATCACGTAATTTTATAAAAACTCAAACGGTAATACACAAGGAGTGCATTATCAGTTTAAACAAGATAGAAATGATAAAAAATTCGGCAACCCTTCTATCGGACTAATGGTTATAGCATTAAACCAACTATACAAAGTCAAGTAAAACAATTCCCTAAATTGCTCAGTCGTCCGTATTTGGTCTTCAAAGCATCTGCCATTTCGTTTTTTCCACACACACCAAACGATGCATCCGGGAATGAGATCCCAAACAAGCTTGCTATTCTTATCTCGAAACTTTCTCTTCCATGCCCACACCACCTCCTTGACACACCTTGGCAACACCCGACTCATATGTTGCGAAGCCAGAATATCATTCCACATCCAACGAACACCGTCACAGTGAATGAACAAATGATCGATCGTCTCGCCATCCCTCTTACACATATAGCACCACTCCGTAACACAATAGCCCTTTCTTCGAAGACTATCCGCCGTTAACACCTGTCCCCTCACCACCGTCCCAGTAAAAAGGCCACCCTTAAAGGTAATTTACTTTGCCAGGGTAATGAGCTCTTCACAGATTCCAAAAGGGATCTGAAATAAGCATGAACAGAAAACAAACCATTTCGTGCCTCCCTCCACCTGCTACAGTCATTCTCTCCTACCTGAATGTGCACATCATACAGAGAGGCCAAAAACAATGCATAGTCATCCAGTTCCCAATCATGTAAGCCCCTCCCGAAAGCAATGTTCCAGCTAGGATTCCCATTAGATATAGCCATAGCATCACTCACCATAGCTGAAGGCTCCAAGGCAATGCGATGTAAAGAAGGAAACCACACTTTTAACGTTTGATCTCCACACCAACAATCGTCCCAAAATCTGACATTCATCCCGTTCCCCACCACAAAAGTCAATCTATTCTGAAAGTCGCTCCATCCTTTCCTGATGTACTTCCACAAGCTCATCCCATAAGAACCGCGACCCTCACCCGAACGCCACCCCCCTCCAAGACACCATACTTTACCCCAATAATTTCTCTCCAGAAGCTCTCCCTCTCCATTCCAAATCGCCACAACCACTTGCCCAACAATGCCTTGTTAAATAAAACAAGGCTCCTCAATCCAAGACCCCCAACCCTAACAGGGGAACAAACATCACCCCATTTGACCAAATGAAACTTCCTCTCTTCCCCCAACCCTGCCCAAAGAAAATCTCTCTGCATCTTCTCTAAACTATTTGCCACTGCAACGGGAATAGGAAACAAAGATAGAAAATAGGTTGGAAGATTAGAAAGCGTGGATTTGATGAGAGTAAGACGGCCTCCTTTTGACAGATAAATACGCTTCCACCCCGCTAACCTCCTCCTCACCCTTTCAAGAATACCATTCCAGATATGTTTACTTTTAAACCTCGCTCCTAACGGAAGCCCAAGATATGACATGGGCAATTGTGCTACTCTGCATTCGAGTATGGCCGCTAATTCCTCCACATTAGCAACCTCCCCCACTGGAATAGCCTCAGATTTGCCCTCAAACCGGAGACCGCTTCAAAACACAGAAGCAAGCGACGCAAATTCCTAATTTGCATATCGTCTGCATCACAAAAGATCAGTGTGTCGTCTGCAAATAACAAATGGGAGACCTGTAGATGACCAATCGCGAAACCTCTTAACAAACCCTCCGTCACAGCTTTCTCAATCATTCTACTGAATGCCTCCATCACAATAACAAACAACAAGGGGGACAACGGATCACCTTGCCTCAAACCTCTACTACTCCGGAAGTAACCTTCAGGGTTACCATTAACTAAAACTGAAAACGAAACCGTAGAGATACAGAATTGAATCCACTTACACCACCTATCCCGAAAGCCGCATCGCCTGAGCATATACATAAGAAATCCCCAATTGACGTGATCATACGCCTTTTGAATATCAAGCTTACACAACATCCCTGGGGTCCCCTGACGTATTCTTGAGTCAATGCATTCGTTCGCTATAAGAACTGAATCCAAAATCTGACGCCCCTTCACAAAAGCATTCTGGAACTTCGATACCACTTTTCCCAGAACCTCCTTTAATCTATTCGCCAACACTTTAGCAATGATCTTGTAAACCCCACTAACCAAGCTAATGGGACGGTAATCCTTAATATCAGTCACTCCCGGTTTCTTAGGAATAAGCACAATGAATGTGGCATTAAGACTTCTCATAAACCTGCCACGTTCGAAAAAATAATTGATTGTATCCATAATGTCTGATTTAACCATCTCCCAACAAGCCTTATAGAATGAGAATGAGAACCCGTCCGGTCCAGGGGCCTTATCATCATTCATATTAAACACCACATCCCTAACTTCATCCTCCTCAAATGGTCTCTCAACCCAACTAGCATCCTCTTCAGTGATAGTGAAGAAATCTAGTCCCTCCAGCTCAGGTCTCCACGCAAACTGCTCCCGATAGAGATTCTGATAAAATCGCACCTGCTGAGTCACAATATCATGTGGGTCCTCGTGCGTAACCCCATCAACCTCCAACAAAGTAATAGAGTTATTGCGCCGGTTGGAATTGGCGACTCGATGAAAGAACTTTGTGCATTTGTCACCCTCCTTCAACCACAAAACCCTAGACTTCTGTCTCCACGCGATCTCCTCCATCTCCACCAATCTCTCCAGCTCTCCCCTTAACCTTCCACGCCTCTCCCTTTCCTCCCCATCCAGCCCTCGACTCTCCTCCTGCCTATCCAACTCTCCTATGTCTGACAAACACTGATTCTTACGAACATCTATGTCTCCCACCACCTCCCCATTCCACTTCTTTAAATCCCCTTTCAAGGCCTTTAATTTCTGATGTAAAACATAACTAGGGGACCCCCTGAAATGATAAGAGGCCCACCAAGTCCGAACTCGCTCCCCAAAACCCTCAACTTTCAGCCACATCTTCTCAAACCTAAAAGGTCTTCTTCCACTACCCCTTCCAATCCCAGATAACGAAATAGGAAAATGGTCCGAGTATACTCTCCCCAATCTCGTCTGAATGACATCAGCGTACTTAGCCTCCCACTCACCACTAATCAAGAATCTATCAATTCGCGATTGAACAGGTTGATCGCGATTAGATGACCAAGTAAACTCTCCCCCCATCATAGGCAAGTCCACCAACATATTTTCACTAATAAAATCAGAAAAATCCTCCATGGCCCCTGTTAATCTCCCTCCACTCGACTTCTCAGAAGGAAACCTGACAACATTAAAATCACCCCCAATGCACACTGGTAGGTTCCACCAAGCCATCATACCAGCCAGTTCATCCCACATGCCCCTTCTATCCACATCTGAGTTTGGCCCATAAACTCCAATAAACATCCACTTAAATCTATCCCCAACATTACTAAAGGAAAGTGATAGAGAAAATAACCCTATACTAACCTCCTCCATTTCAAACATTCTACTGTCCCACATAATAAGCACGCCTCCTGATGCCCCTGAAGCTCCAAGAAACTGATACCCAACATGCTGTCCCCCCCATAAAGAACTCACAACAGCCCTCGAAATGACCTCTAACTTCGTTTCTTGTAAACAGACAAGATCGGCCCGCCATCCCCTTAACAAGTTCCGTACACCTAACCTTTTCCCAACTTCGTTGAGCCCCCGCACATTCCAGCTAATGATTTTTGGGATCATCTAAACTCTCCTTCCTCCCTCCCTGACAACCCTCTCTTTGACTCACCCCCTTTTACATCGTAGTTTATCGACCATTCAAGCCTCTTAAGCTCACGGTTCCCTTTTCTTCTTGCTCTTCCTCCTGGTGAACACATCCCATGTCCCCTACGTGTCTCCAACTCCTCAAACAAGTGCAAAAGGTTATCTTCATACCCATCACAAGACACCCCCACCATCTTACTGAATTCCTGAATTTTATGAAGAACCCAATTTGAAACTGGAGGTCTAACATCAAGCGCAGTAACTCTTACTATCTCCCCTGTATTGCAACATTCAATAGGCTCAAAGATCTGTCCTTTCCCCTCCTCCACCAGTGTTGTACCCTTATCCAGTATTCCTTTTTTGTCGCACTCCTCCCACACTACTATTGCTTTGTCGTTCCCCAATACGTTTTCATTAAGAGACTTTGAATGCCTCCTAATGTATGTGTTCACAATCATAGTAGTCAAGCCTGTCACCACTTGCTCTTGTGTCGGTGCCGGACTTGATTCCTCTGCCCTCACTAATCCGATCACTTTATCTGTCAACCCAACTCCCTCTACAGCTGTGATCATATCTCCCTCAATCGCAGTTGCCTCGTTCTTCTCAAAAGGCTCATTCAGTGCTCTCATCACCGTGCTCTTAGTTCTCTCGTACCCCGAGTACTTTTCATCCAAATCCGACCCCATAATCTCTTCTCCCTCGTCATCTCCACTACACTCCACATCATACCGTGCCTGATTCCCTCTGGTGGGCTCAATCATCACCTGCGTTTCTTTAGTTTGAAACGAGTTTGATTGTATCTCCTTAGCCGGATACTCAGACATACCAGCCCCGCATTTATGACAACAAATCATTTTGGAGCCCTCTAGAGCGCCACCTCCCAGTAACCTCAACAATTCATCCACCTCACCTTTCAATCCCAGGACGCGAGCCCTTATTTCATTATTACTCAATGAACTGTTTAGAGCACCTTCTGGCGTTATCTCCTTCAACTTATGCATCAAAGGGTGACCCTCGCTATCCTTTTGTAACGACATTGGCTTTTTCGTGTTCTGCTCGACCCGTCGGTTTGCCGTAACTGCAGCATATGTCCTCCTTTGTTGATTGATGACTTTAACCTTTTGACGCTCCACTTTGTCTCTAGTGACAAAAAAATCGACAACTGCCTGAAACATTTGCTGCATCGACGCCCATCCCTCTCCGTTCGCACCTTCCGGTACCATCACCACTCCTTTACGACGCCTATCCCCATATTGTGCTATCGTCAGATACCTACCTCGACTGTTACCACACCGCTGCGCCATAAAAGCTCTCGATGACTCTGTAAACTTAGCAATAAACTCCTCTTGCTTGCTCGCCCCCCTCACTTTATCCATCATATTCAATATCCACAAGGCTCCAAACCTCCCCATATATATTGCATTTGATGTCCTCGGTCCCCATTCGGTCAACTTCACAACACCAGATTCATTAATAGACACAAAAAATTCCTTTGCTTCCACTCCAATTCGAAGATGAAACTCCTTTGTACCAAACATATCCGCGTGCCGTTGAAATGGTGCGTCCGACAGTAAAACGGGGGGCTGGAATGACCTAGGCAGATCACACGCTACCCGCTGTCTGCCAGTCGCCGACGCGTAAGAACTCCACTTCGCCGGGGTCGGAATGACCTGGGCTGCCGTCCGGTCAGGCGCGTTGCCCAGTAGGTGGCCGGAGCATGGGTTATTTCCGGATCTTGGGGGGTGGCGTTAGGGTTTGCACCTAAGGCCGCCGCCAGCGTGTGTTCTCCATGGGCGGGTAGGCCCTGGTTTGTTGGCATGAGGCCGGTTGGTGGTGGTGGAGGAAGTGGGCTGGTGGGTGAGCTAATGATTTTGGATGTTGAGGGAGATCTTTCCATTCGGGAGAGAGCGTGAGCGGGTTCAGGTCATTTCTCTTGAACCTATTAGTTCCAAAATCCTGCAATTTGGTAGAAGGTATCCGTTGAGCTTATTGTTCTGGAACAGTTGTAATTAATCACGTTTTAACTTTACATAATCCCTGGCACTTTTATCACCAGTGCTAGAGGAATTCTCTTCAAGATTACCAGATGGACCAATGTGTCTTACATGGACTATTCTAGGTTAGAACCAAAAACATTGATAAAAAGTACCTCAGTTCACACTTGACATTGAAAATAAGGGCACGGTATATATATAGATTCATCCATGTAATACATAAACACAAGTAGAGATCAAAAGAGCGTGAACACAAAAATAAATATAAATACAATGTTGCAACAAACCACACAACCAAGTCCCAACAATAGGTAAGAGTTACCACATAATGAAATAAGACATACCAAGAAAAATACTATTCGACCAGGAAGATAGCCACTGATGTTGTCCACCTGTTCCACAAATTACAATTAGATAGCAACCAGCAATGATGTCTTCCATTGAAAGAAAAATGAGAAATAATGGGAAACCCAAGATATTCAGGAAATAGGAAGAGGCATGACAAAAAAGAATTCGGAACAAAAATACTCCTAAATTATTGTTCAAACAGTGGTTTCAACTTTCTACCAAAGGAAAAATAGATCATAACCTAAAAAATAAAAAAATAATAATAAATAATAATAAAAAAATTTCAAATAACTATAGAAGTAGAGTCTCCTGTTTTTTTAAAAGTAATACAATCTAGAGACTGTTGATGAAGATAAGTAAAAGTAATACAATCTACAGACTCTGGATCAAATGACCTTCATTAAAGAGTAGATGTTTGAGAACAGTAAATTTATCTTGTCGCAATCTAAAAATTTGTCATTTTGAAATAATGAAATATACGTGCACGGGGGAAAAATGTAATAAGCCAATTGAAAGCAGATTGGACGAATACCAATAATTGAGGACCTCAACAAACTAGGAAGGTGTAACACAACACTCAACTACATAACATCATCTAAATTCAAATTCATAAAAAGGGAATTTTGATAAAATGAAGTCCAAAGCAGGCACTGGTAGAAAACTAGACTCCCCATTTTAGGTCCCTTTTGTGTGGGATGAAAGGAAATTCCCATTGCTCAATTTCTTCTTTATTTCTTTCCTCTTTCTTCCCTTCACCTTTTTTCTTCTTTGTCTCATTATTTCCTTCTTCCCCTCTCCTTTTTGGGATAATCTAGACGAAATTGACTTGGCAACCCACTTGGGAATACATCTTACATTTAATGTTCCCAGCTAATAATTTCATCTTGAGAAGAAGACTCAGGTGGTCATTAGCATTCTCATGGAGATTTTCTTCTATGGAGGAGAGTGATAAAGAATAAATTAACTTATCTCAATAGAGAGTCAGAGAATCCAATGTGTCATTGCTTGGTTTTATGCAAGTCTTTGTTTAGCTTTAATTATGTTTAGAAACTGCATGAAGAGTCCATGAAGGTTGCTTGTTTTCCTAAATTAAAAATAATTCGCATTCAGTGGACAACTATGTATACTTAGTGCCATTTAAAGAAGTTTGTGCAACTGGGAAGGAAGATAGAATATCTATCTTCCAGAAAATTAGTAGAATATATCACATTTTTTGCTTCAAGTTTTGAGGTTTCTCTTCAAGTTTTCCCCTTAAAAGATACATAAACTCTGGCGGTGATTGGAGTATCAATTTTGGTCTACATAGTAAGACCTCTCTATATCACTAATCACACGAGTACCTGTTTAATTTATTATCTGCAGAATAATCATATGATAACAAAATAATATGATCTGTATTCACCAATAAACTAAGCACGAGAGGAATTTTCTAGTACCACCGAGGATTTATTGGAGATTGTTTGTGTACAAGATAATTGTTTTCTCATCTGTTCTTTTATGCACAACGAGATCATACAAGAGAAGCAGCCTTGCATATATATGTCATAAATAGTCAAATTTGATTTTATAGAAAATACACTGGAAAACAAACTTGATAAAATTTTGGCATGATGAAAAGGAGGTTTTACTTGTATTTGTCCACCATGGCCACTGACCATATCAATCATTTTGATATAAGAGCCTTCTTCGACGGGTTCATAAACCTGAAATCAGAAAATTCTACCTATTAAACACAATATCGCCCATTGCATCGGTCAAAGATAACTTGAGCTATGAAATACAGTCAGAAGTATGTTTCAAGAAATTACTTTTTCATAGTTCTCAAGTCGATGTTTGAAGTCATGATATCCAGCTTCAAAATCCGGCCTGGAAAAATATCATGAATCACGATGTAAAATTACCATAGATTAGCATTACAAGAAAACAAGTTTAGTCGTACACTTCTGCATAGTCAGGGCTCTGTTGAACTTTGAGGCGTATATTTCTTTCAATTATTTGGCGATCATTGCATATGGTCTCCAAAAAGATAATCTGAAGCAAAAATCATGTAATCATAATAACAGATGCATATTGTCTCCAAAAAGATAATCTGAAGCAAAGAACGTGTAATCATACTAAGATGCTGTCTCTAAAGGCCACAGAGAATCAGCTATGCTTTATGCCATATAAATGATTAGATGCCAAGCAAGGATATCAAGGCAAGCCACCATCACAGATTAGATATAACTTGTGCATTGCTGCCATTAAAAAACATAAAAAATACACTCATGGAGCTCTGTGGTGCATCTGCACTCAAAGGCATTGAGGTTCAGTGGTTCACAGCAAGGAATACTTCACATAACCTATAGTCTGCATTAACGGAATCTCTCTCTCGCTACCGTTTCAGAAGTCTTAACCAACCACAGAGCTGCCCCCAACACTCAAAACAAGAAGGGAGGGAGGGAGGCCCATAAACAAACAAAGAGACCTTCACAGAGTTGAGTGGTGCACCTGCACTCAAAAGGCATTGAGGTCCACTCCTACAAGAAGTTCACATAATAGTCTGCATTAAAGGAATCTTTCTCTCGCTTCCATTTCAGAAATCTTAATCCACCACACACAGCCACTGCCCCCAACAACCAAAACAAGGAGGGAGGGAGGGAGGGAGAGAGAGAGTGTGTGTGTGTGGCTTCTCTACAATCAAATTCAATGTTATGCATGTCAAATATTACATCTATAAAATACTTTATTGGAAGATTTGCCAGAAATTGTGTCTTTTTGTGCACAGTTCCTGGCAGAATTATAATCAACTAGCTGCAAAATCATCATACCTTGCATTTTCCTTCAGCCATTTTCATAAGCATACTCCTCCTATTCCTTGTACTGTTTGTGGCATCAAATATTCCTACCTAAATGCAAATAAAATACACATTAGAACAGGACAAATAATATGTAGTATTTTATCACAATAAAATAAAATACCTGCCCACCCTCTTGCATCCAAGATATCATATCTTCCATTGCAAGAGCTGCTACCTAGTTGCAGGTGATATATTAAAACTATGTGCAAGGAAAGAGCTTAATTCAGTGCATGGATTAAGATAAGAAAAAACAAAATACAGCAAAAGAAGTTCAAATTTTACAAATTTCTTTCATCAGGTTAAGTTTTAGGAGAAAAATGCAATGCCCAATGGTATCATCAATCACAAACTTGCAAGAACGGCAAAAAAGGTAACTTGTAAGAAGCCTAGATATCTTCAATAGACATTTATGAACAGCTTGTAAATCAGCCATGTCATTATGGAAAGGACTAAATAACTTCCATTGATTTTAGAAGAATTTAAATAACATATATATAGAATTAGAAATTACAAGCTTGAGAAGAACTTATTTACAGCTATACAAAAGATCCTAGTGGGTAGAAAAGCTAAAAGAGGTTACAAAGTGTTTACATAAATTATTTCCAAAGAATCTATTAACTGTGAAAAAAAAAAAGAATCTTAGTAAGGGACGATCTGAATGTGATAGACGAATTTCAGTGAATCTTCAATGTTATTGTTGTATTTTTCTACACTTAAACTCTTCAATATAGGCCCTCCATTTACTATATTTTAAGTGCTGAGAAGAAAGCCTTCTATGCTTTTCCCATATATTATACTCTTCAAGGACTTTAGGCAATAGAGCAGCTACGCTGGTTGCAGATGTGGCATAGAGCAGTAAGGTTATACAAATGAGAGACTTTTGAATCTTGCCATTTCACCAATAAGCAGATAATGCTCAGGCAATTCTTGTGTTTGCAAAGTTGGTTACATTTCATATTTCCAATGGTGGCAACAAAATGGTGTGAAATTGATTAGGAAAAACCATGCATATATAGCCTCAAAAGTCTCTCATTAATCAAATGGGCACGCTATGCCAAAAGCACTAATTTCTTAAAGGGGTGCCTTCGGGAACGCGGACAGAGGTGGTGCATGGCTGTCGTCAGCTCGTGCCGTAAGGTGTTGGGTTAAGTCCCGCAACGAAGAGAGAGAGAGAGAGAGGAAATTACTTGTTTTAAACATAATGTCTTCTTAGGAGTAAAAGGAAAAGTCTGATAAAATCAATTGACTTTATGAAATGAAAATCTTATTAGGATATAAAAATGGAAGCATAGAGATAATGACTAGGCAAAGGGATCATTAATATCTCCACAACAAGAATGGACAGTAATCATAAACCCTTAGTAAGTAATATTGAGGAAAAAGAATAGTTACAGGAGACATCACTTTAATTGCATGCTAATTTTGTCATGATTTCAGCTGATAAAATTTATACACTTCACAAAAATATTCTCATGATTTGAAATGGTTTTCCTGGCAAACAGTTACCTCATTGCGTGCTTCCAAGCCTTCTGGATTATCACTTCTGAAAAAATCTGCAGTCTGCATCAAGATATTGTGTAAGACAATGAAAGGTAGATCTAATAAATATGTTCAGCAATCAAGAAAAAACGACACCAATCAAATGGCCATCACAGTTTGACAAATATAGTCAGAGCATATTATTGAATTTAGCTGTCACAGCTCATTTAAATCCTCTGCCCTAAACACACTCCAGACTATTTTATCAGTTATCACACCTATATCATGTCATCACTCATAAATGATCATTTTGTAGAACTATGCTGCCGAACATTTCAAAAGGGCAGTTGAAATTTTCTTGCAAGTAAATTTCACGGAAAATAATTTTATGGTACGTGAATGAAACGTGAAAATTGGCCAATTAAAGTTGCCAACATTGTGTACGTGTCATGGCATTTAGAATATTGGAGCAGTTAATTCCATGCAAATCATGACCAATCCATAAAGGCTTTTATTAATTTCAGAAAACGAATTTATTTCTATAATTGCTATTTATCACAAGAATATATATCTATCATTGTTGGCCACGAGCCCTTAGTAGCTATATTGGCTCAAACATCAAACCTACTATGTTTGGTGGCCATAGATCAATCCATTCTGGGCAATCTTGATAAAAAGATATACACAATTGACTGGAGAAAGTTACAGAAAAACCTACAGAGCAATGGGACTATCCTAGCCGCAGCAAGCAATAGCACGTTTTAAGGAAGAAATGTAGTTTGTTGCACTTCTGAACAATTATGGACAACACGTGGTGATCACTGTGAAAAAAATTCACAAACTATCTTCTTTATTCTACCTGTAAATGTTAGATTGCATATTGTTCAAAGGAAGGGTACAAAGCATCTGAACAAATGAGAGCGTCGAGAGATGGCAACCAGAACCAACACTCGCGCATATACCACTGAAGCTACTCCTACTGGTTCTAAGATGATAGGCTTGATAGCTTTTTCAGTTGCTTGATTGTTTTACCTACACAAAAAATTTTGTGTTCTTATTTTAAAAAAGCAAACAAAACTACCATTTTGTTGTGATGCAAACATATATTCCATGCATTATGTGTTTTGGTTTTCCTTAATTGGCCAGAGTTGATGTTAAGATTTGATGTTTCATCTTAAAAGGTCAACTTTATTAAGAGGAGTAACTCAATCCTTTATAAGTTAGTTTATGTTTAAATCTCTATTCAATGTGGGATTCTATCCCTTAACATGCCCCCGCAAGATGGTGGCTCGTTTGATCAGTCCAATCTTAAAATCCGTATGCTCACTTTTGGAGTCTTAACCGGATCGAATTGCTCGTTTGAGCTTAATGAGCTCTGATACCATATTATAAAGGATACTGGGCCGAACGCAACTTAACAAAATCAGCTTGTTAGGGGAGGATTGCCCTCACCTTATTAAGTGGATCGTGTAAATATCACCAACTAATGTGGGACTGTAATATCCCCCCTTACGCACAGCGTGGATCATGTCAGACAACTGTGAACAAATCGATATTACGTGCACCCAACATTGCAAAACTTGGTATGCTTTGATACCATGTTAAGATTTGGGTTCCATATTGAAAGGTCAACTTTATTAAGAGGAATAACACAATCATTTATAAGTTGATTTATGTTTACATCTCTATTCAATGTGGGATTCTATTCCCTAACAGTTGAGAGACATGTGGACCATGTGTTGATTGGCATTCGTGCCATTAGTCTGGGAGGAGCAAGAAGAAGAGATCTGCTTATTCATTTAACCCCGAAAATCAAACATGATGGAGGGAGATATTGGGTTCAAAGACCAATGATCATGAGAAGGAGAAAGAGAAAGAGAGAGAATTTAATCATGTCAGAAGGAATTAAGGACGTCTAAATTTGGTAAAAGACCTGAACATAAAGTCCCGAGATGTTCTTAAGAGGTTTAAATTCAACTGCTCCTTTAGAATATAAAAATTCTAAAACAACCTCAGATATATGAAAGAATACACAGAAACAAGAGGAAAAAAGTGCATCTGACCAATTGACGAACCTGATTAACTCCATGCTTTAGTCGTCGATACTGCAAACAAAAATACACTAATTATTCAGTTCCCTTTTTCCATAAGTTCACAAAAACAATGAACAATAACAATAAACATTTATTACCTTCCCAACATTGAAGTGTTTGGTCTCATGCCCTAACCAACGTAGATATCTAGTAAGTTTAGCTGCAGTAAAAGTTTTACCACGAGCAGGCAACCCAACCTGTAGCAATTAGAATAATATACTTCTGAGGTGTAAATTTTGACAACCTATGAACAACCGATGCCCAGTAAGTATGACAAAAGTATCTTCCTAAAAGAAAGGGTAGTAAATATGCAATATACAATCTTACAAAGATCTAGGATCGTGAAATGTATGACCGAAATTCAGAAAAAGAAACTACTAGGAGAGTACCAGCACGATTGCCAGATGTCTATCCTCCTTTGGCCCAAGCATCTGATCTGCTACAGCTGCAGCTGCAACGGCTCCTGCAGCGGCTGGCATAGAGTTCTAACAATTCGCAGTGGGTAATGAATTAGAGGTATGTTTCGCTGCAGACAAAGTCGAATATTTTACTTTCAGTCTTCTTCAGTGTAACCAAAGCAGTTCCTACAAACCTTGGCTTCTGAGTAAAGTTTGAGATCAGCCGTAAATGATGCAGCACTTGCCGATTTTACTAGCCTAGGAGATCCTACCCCCCTATCCACAAAGAGTCCTCTGTGACCTTCTTGTTTCAGCATAGATGAAAAAGCACCCACTGAGTTCGACTCAACCATGCCAGATGCTGAAGATGATGTGGTCAGTTCTGGGACAATGACTTCCATCCCCTGGTAGAATGTTGCAATTCCACATTTTAGAAATACAAAATTGTGCTACTTGTAGTGGTTGCAAATTATGGAAGTAAAACACAATAGTTTGCAAGCTAATTCCTGAAAGAACTGATTCATAGAAGTGCAATTCAAAGACCGTAATAAAGTCCGTTGATGCTACCATTCTAACACCTGTCCCATTAATCAACGTCGCATGACTAATTTTATTAAGCTTTATTGATGAACAGACGTGCTACCTCCCATTTCAGATTAAACAACTGATTTCAAAGTGATGAGGTACCCGAACTTTGACATGTGAATAGCCATCTAACTTAATTTAGTAGGTCCATGCCCGTAGAAAAAAAAAATCACAATTTGACAAAACAGCACTTGCAAATAAATAAGTTTGCTAATCATCAACCGGTAAGTGCACCCTTCCTCTTGGTGGGGGACAGAAATAAACAACATTAAGGTTCAGCTAACTATCTCCATATCCAGAAGAAAATTAATTTACGTAGTGTATTTTATTCTCCCTCAATATCAGTATTTTATCACTAGCTTTGTGAACTTGATTATTTTGTCTTTGTTAGTATTAAAAACACAAAAAAAAAATTCTCAATGCGTGGAATACAAGCTGAACAAGAAATAAGAGATTTGGAGCAAATATAGCACCAATGATGTTGCAGATCATTCAACAGAAACACCACTATCTAATGTAATGCACCACTAGAGCAATCAGTTCAGGAAAATACCCCAAAACGACTCAGCGTCCTAGGTGTTTCTGTCATGTTCGCTGCATACGCCAGAGCTGAGTGTGCAGCAGTTGCTGGAGCTGGGACAACGTAGTGCTCAATATCAAGCTCCAAACTTGCTGAAGTTCCATTCTATATTGCAAATCGCCAAATACAAACTGATATATCATACCACCCATACTGATAGATACCCGTACAAAAGAAATTATAAGAAGATATACATAAAGGAAGAACTCTAATAGTTAGCATTTGGGATGGCACAAGAATCAGATGATTTTAGTAAAAGCCAAATTAAAGAACCTATTCATCCCCGAGTTTCACACGAAGTTGAGTACAATTACCCCTTGACAATTATAAAAGAATGCTCACACAGTTCACACTCCTCAAGTCATAGCACCCAAACTTAAAAATTATTTCACCTTAATTTCTTAAACAGTAAAGTTTGATTAAGTTGGCAACCAAGGGAGTGACACACGTATACATCAAATGACAAAAGCTATCTATTTATCTATCCAACAGTAAAATATCATCAAGAAATTCTACAAAAGTGTTATGTAGCCATTATAATCACATTACTTGTACCAAAAAATTGTAACATATTCCTTCTTCAGCACCAAGTCTTTTCATGCTCTCTAAAGGTTATCCTATCCTATTTCTCCTTCCACAAAAATTATTGCTCAAAACGTTTCAAGGCCTTTTTTTTTTCCAAAGACAGAAGAACTTAAATACAACTGATATTAAATTCCAAAGTAATATGGTATCCACAGAAATTTAGACACAAGTAAGATGGATTATTCAAGTAACAAAAAACTTAGAAGACATTCACACGTCTTCTTTCTAAAGGCTCAATGCACCACTATGCATTACTTTATACATCTGCATCTAAATATATCAAAATTTAAATCGGAGCAGGGAGGAAAAAAGCTAATCCTCCTGTTGTACCAAAAAAGAATGTACAGAGGCAAAATGCATGAAATATCCTATCAACTAATATAATATCGTGTCAAATGAATTCAAATGCCACACACTCAAAGTCACCATAATCCAAAAATTAGGGAATAATTCTCATGTACATAACAAGCTTATTACCTACCTCAGGACCAGCTTCAGCAGCTGAATTTATACTTATATCTGGGATTCCACGAACAGTTGAAGGCTGGAGATTCTCTTGATATGCTCTCCAACTTGCCGCAAGATCAAATGGCGAAACTCTATCCACATTAATCAATACTCTGTACTCAAAAACCTCATCACTGCTCAATTTAAACATAGCCGACCACCCATCCCCATGTAATGTACCGGCTGTCAACTGCCTGTTTGGACCCTCCTCAACTATACAAGGAGAGCTACTATATTTCGGCTTCAACAGAAACTTAAAATCCAAAGTCTCTGTACAAAAGCAAAAGATAATTAAATCTTCAATTTCACAAGAATACTAAAATGGAGAAAAATATCCTGCTTATATGTTGGGTGTAATTACCGTGGTTAGGAGGGACAACGAAACTTAATACCCACATAAAGGTGTATTCACGTTCCATCGAAAGCTGATTTTTACAAAAAATATATTAGCAACTAAAAGAAGGAGAATCGCTAACAAATTTCAACCAATGAAAATTACAAAAACACCAGACTCGGCAACATTGAGTTGAAAACATAATTAATCACTGAATTTAAATTTTTTTCAAGTTAGTCAATTAACTTTCATTCTTTTTTCAGCTCAAGCACTCTGTCTACCTCTGTTCTTTCGAAATTAATGAAATTGCTGACTTACGTGACTTATAACGCCCGTTGATGCATTGATTACATCATCCAAATTTGCAGAAATGCTCATTTTTTTGCAAGACAAATGCATTATTTAAATAGCACGATTCTTTTAGAATATCATATAAGCAAGCAATTCTATTACTTTTACTTTCAAAAACACAACTAAAAGTCATGTGATTAATTTTGGAATAAAATAGAAGTTAAGACGGCAAAGTGTTTGTAATTTTAAGCCCAGAAACATTTATCAACAAAATGCATAATAATATGCGAAACTAAAAAACAACAGTTCTCTAATCGGATAACATTTCAAACAGAGACGGAGATAGGGGGCCTGGGGGACCGCCCCCCCCCCCCAACATTATCCGCTGGTCCACTATTCTTAGTTAATTTTTAATGTATTTTTCAGTTTCGTCCCCCCCAAAAATTTTGACTCGCCCCTGCAAAATTTGAAATTTTTTTTTCCATTAATAAATATTATCCCAATAACTTACACTTTAAACTTCAACTATACAAAAATCTTAGACCTAATCAAAAGATTCAATAGTTAATTAATTAAATAAATAAATAGCCCAGATCCAATATATGTGTGCCAATTGTTGGCATTGACAAAAAAATCAATCAGTTATAATCTTATTGATAGATTGATTCGTCTTGTCTTGACTCTTCCAGTTTCAACAGCAACTACAGAACGTGCATTTTCATCTATGAGTGTCATTAAGATAAGGTTGCGTAATAGAATGGAAGATAATTTTTTGTCCAGTACCATGCTTGTGTATATAGAGAAGGAGATTGTTGATATTTTTCCATTAGATTCTCTTATTGATGAGTTTGAAGTGACGAGGACAATGAAAGACCAATTTCAGATGTCCAAGCCATCTCTACCATCTGTTATATAAATAGGCAGTTTACTTTTTGTCTTTTTTATCTCCATCTAACGTTCATGTTTTCAATTTCTATAGCTTTAGACACATAGTTGGACATATTATTTTTGTATCAACAAACTGATTGTCTTTTTGATCAATCAATTTAACTTGCCTATTTTGATACTCAAATTCGTCATTTTAAATCCTCTTAGTTTAAAAAAAAAAAAAATTTGGCCGCATTTTCGCCCCCAAAATTGAAATCCTGGCTACGTCCCTAATTTCAAATAAATTGAACTGCTGAAGTAATTGAACTTGAAAATTGGGAAAGATGATACAAACTCACGGCTTTTGAGGAGTCCCAGGAGCCGACTAGTGGTACGGAGCCGTAAACATGGGGTATGATATCGCCATTGAGCTTATAATTTTCCATTCTGAGAGAGACATAGAGTTGACCGCCGGCTTGGTCCCTCTCTTCACTGCCATGGGAGCTGCTATCGGGATTTTTCGATGCGCCAGTGCCCATTTTCTGGGGAGCTACAGCCTACAGGGAGAGGAGAAAAAGAACTTTGTACAATTTTTACCGAATATAATAAGTGCGTGCATCTGTGTGTGTGTGTGTGGGCGAAGAAAGAGATTGGGATTGAAAGGTGTGGAAATATGAAAAGCGTGGGCGTGGCGATAAGGTTCAAATGGAATCGCGGTGGGAAGCCAAACTGATAATTTTTAAGAAGTCAAAAATTAATTTAATCATACAATTTTATTGGATTCAAAATTTTCTAATCATACGTATTATTAATTTTTATCAAAATTTATTAAGAAATATCTTAATCCACATAAAAAAGGGTTTATATTTTTTAGGCCATCTTTTACACAAGATTCTGACATATTTGTCAAGTCAAATTTTTGATCAATTCTCTCTATCGATAGGAACAACTCGACTTTAATCATGCGAACACATCAATTTTATTTTTCTTTTAACTTAAAATTTTATTGAGAATATCTTCACTTTTAGCAGAGGAATACCGTGGTAGAAGAAAAGGGGATAATCATTTACATCTATGCGAACACATCAATGAATTCCTTAAGTAAAGAAAGAAATTCTTCATTTTCTTTCTCTGATAGGCTTGAGCCAATTCGAACAACAAATAAAGTTACAAAGGTCCGTTTAAAGAATATGATATCTCATTTGATCTAAGTGCAAACGATGATTACCAACATTTATAAGGCCGTCAATTATCTTTACCATTAACGAAGTTGAAACATAGGATTGTTGCGTAGAAATATATTTGACAGTCATTTGTTTCGAGGCGATTGGGCATCTGATTTCTTGATAACATTTTTAATTCATTGCTTTAAGAATGAGCAATGTCAATTACATACCATATTTTAATTCTCTATGCCTAAAATGTTTGTCAGTAATGAACTTACAAGTTTTCATCATTTAAAGTAATCTTTTAAGTCATCTCAACATAAAAATCATGTCTTGAAAAGTCTTTAGTAATTAGTTGGCAATAGAGTAAGATTGATAGGAAAAGTAGGTGAGTGGACAATTTTCTTGAAAAGCGAGGTGGGGACACTAGAATCATAAATTGTTTTCGAATAAGGGATCACTAGTCAAAATAAGTGTTTTTTTCTTAATCAAAGGCCAATAAACTTGCTCAATGGACCATCGGTTGGAAATTTGCATTGACAAATAAATTAAAGGCAGCATTAGTTCTTTAAAAGGAATGGAAATGTTAGTGGAGAGATCTTCATGACACCTGCTCATATCATTGCTTTTAGTGCATGAAAAGATGTCAAGAATTGCTATCTTGTGCCATCCGAAACTACAAGGAATTTTAGGTAAAATTTTATCAAATTGCAAAATAAGTCTGTGTTCGGTTGAGCTAAAAATTGATAATTAAGTTGAAGTCACTAATTAATTTGTGCCACGGATTTAATGGGACTAACAACTTTTATAAACTTATCAATCACACATTTCATTCGCTTTTATCAAAATCTACTAAAAAATTATTTTTTAGCAAAAGCAAACAGAAGATAAATTGACGTGATCTATGACAAAAAGGAAAATTAAGTTTAGCATCTAAATATTTTTGTTGACCATGATTTTTATGAGGGTGTCCAGTAGCTTCTGTCTGTATTTGGACAAATCGTTAGAGCACGTGGACTTCTCCGATAGTGGGGAGCTTGTCGCAAGTACGACAATGATCAAGTCAGTCTATGTAAGAACGAGTTTAGATTGTCGACATGCTAAAGACGTGAGTCACTAAGTAAAGGGGGTTTAGAACCAGAAGGGCGTAGAGGGTAACAAGAGCGAATTTATAGCTTGAATGTATAAACTTGCATTCCTTTCAAATAGCGCAATGTGAGCTTTTATAATAGATAAGAGCAAATAATAAACATTGAATGAAGAGACATGTGGTCTTATCCTAACGACTAAGGCGCCTTGTCATGGACGTCATTCGTCGATCCTAGACTTAGGCGCATTTAGCCCCCGTTTGGCCCCCATTATTTGATATTTTAATTTTTGTAATAGTAATTTTTTTTTTTTGGAGAATAGGTGGTTAAAAATAAAGGAAATGATTTCAATTTACGTGTAATATTATTTTATTGAAAAATATAGAATTAAAAAAATAGAGAAAACTGTATTAAAATTCTAATATGGACCAAACAAGGGCTTAATGTTCTGATCATTTGCAACCATATGGCCTAGGTTGTAGGGACTAGATTTAACGTATTGACTTGATAAAGTGGTTGTTATATTGAATGATCACATCAATCAATCACAACATATCTAGTAATGAGGATCCTCTACAGCACCTCAAATTGCCTCGCCTCGTTTATGAGGGTTTTGCCCCTCTGCACGTGTTCAACCTTCGTGTAAGGATTTGGCTTTTTCATGGGAGTTCGACAAAAAATGCCACATGGTACAAGATGACATGGAGTGTGGGCTTAGATTCGCTTAGTACATGGCTATCACGTGGTCATTCTAGAAGCCACGTTGAAAGAGACATAACAATTTTCTTATCAATCTTTTGTGGTACGTACAAAAAATAAACAATTGTAAATGTAGTAGAACCTATGTAATTTTTGTTAATAATACTTCAAGGTTTGGATGATCAAGAAAATCTATATCATTATAATAATTTTTCATACATCTCATCTTTAACAATTCGTAATTTTTCTCCATATATTTTATTTTTCTATTTTAATATTCTTTAAAATAAGATTGAGTAGACGAGACAAGAAATTGTCTCAATTCCCATTGCGATCAAACTATATATAAAATTAACCAATTAATTGATCAACTTTTAAATGTGGCTAACAATTATATAGAGGTTGTTGTTACATATATAGTTTCTGTGCAAAATATTATTTGAGGATGTTTTTCAAATTTATTAGCTGGTTAAACATCATTTTTATCCATATATTTGTAGGACTCACGAATTTTATCTACTTTTTATTTCCACTTTGTGTAAAATCCACTGTTTATAGTTTAAAAACAAACTTTGCTAAGCATACACTAAATTTAGCCTCTACTGGATGAAAGATGGAGTATTAGTATTTTTTGTTTTTTTGGACTGGGTCGTTGGTTGGTCGGGCTGTTGTTAGTGTTTCTAACTGGGTTAGTACTTATTTGAGCTGTTTAGCCGGGTTGGGTTGTTCATTTGGAGTGGGCATTTTTCTGGGAGGGGAACTTTAGAGTGGGTTAGATAGATGGGAAATTATAAAAACTCAGGTGCTTAAAGTTTGGAATTCAAAAATCAGGGACCAAAATTCAATCTTCAAAAATCAGGTGCTATATAAATCCTCCAACCCTAATTTTTCACTCAATACCCCCTCCACTCCCCTCTCTCTCCCCTGAGTCGCCTCCCCTCTCTCTTTCGTCCCCTCTCTGCCCTCCACCTCCCCTCCCCATCCCTCTGCTGTGATTCGAGATTTCGCTGCTGCAATTCGCGATTTCGCGAATCGCAGCAGCGTCTCACGCAACAGACGCTGATGCGTCGCTTTTCGCAAAAAGCAGCAGCGTCTTGCGTGAGACGCTGCTGCTACCCCACAGCTGTGGGTGTGGTGTATACGGTAGAAGCCTTATCGACAACTCACAAAAGAGGTGTGTGGTGGTGTTGATGTTGGTTGTGGGGTGGTAGTGGTGGTTTGGGGTGGTTTCGGTGACATTGGTTCTGGCGGCGGTGAGTTGTTGGTAGTTGTAGCGGTGGTGTTTTTTATGGTCGCGACGCTGCTATCCTTCCATCTTTTTTGGGTGGCAATTTTCGTGGCGATTTTGGGTCGCGATTTCGGTGGTGGCGGATGTGGTGGAGAAAACACCTTAAATATGATTTGTTTTCCCTATATAGATTGGCTGGTATGAGATTGGATAGTTGAATAGACTCTTGGACTAGGTTGGAGTTGTAACTTGAGGAAATTAGGCCAAGTACCCATAAAAATAAGTATTTTGATTAATACCTTTTAAACTAATTAAATATTTTATTCAAGTAATAATTACGTCATATCCTAAACTATTAACTAAAACTCCAACCTAAAGTAACCCGATAGAAACCCACTCCCCACTAAAAACGTTCCCACTCCACGGATGATTTCCCGAACTCCAAGAAACCTCAACCTGAAATCTTTGTTTCCTACCGTTTTTGATCGATTTCGTCTGAATCTTCCTCCATCTCTGTTCGTCTTCAGATTTCTCCTTCTCATTTCGTGGAGATCTTAAACTCTGACCCTAAAAACTCCAAATAGTAGAAACCCTAACCTCTTCCGATCAAAATCCAGAAATTTGAGTCCGATTCCGACTTATTCACTTTGGTGCCATCGAAGAAGAAAATTTTTTTAATGAAGAACTATCTTCAAAGAAGAAGAACAATTTGGGTGTGTTTGAGTCACATTATTTTGGAATAATATATTTTGGAATAGTAGATTGATGGAAAATGTGTGATTGAAAAAAAAGGTAAAAGTATTGATATGATGGAAATATTATTTTATTGAAGAATGTGCTGTTGAAAATGAGTAGAAGAATGAAAATGAAAATTTTAATGTGGCTCAAATAGGAACAAAATTTATTCAGCATTTTATAAACCCAAGGTAGCATTAATTGTAGGAAGGAGTACCAATTTAGTTTCCTCTTTTGTGTATATGTTTTAATTTTAGTTCCTTAATGGGAAATTGACTTTCTAGTTTTGATATTTCATATGTGATGTTATGCATTTTAGAAATTTTCATAGCTTCCAAATTGCCTTTTGTTTTGTATAAACAAAAGTAATAGAAGGAAATTTAGCGTGGAAGCCATGCCCCTGTTAGTAGAAGTTGGAAAGCAATGTTGTTGCTGTAAATGATTATTTCTTTCTTCTACCTTCTTGAACTTAATAACACGTGAAATTTTCTTTTTACGTCTTTAGTCATTCTATAATTTACATAGCAAGTTTGTAAACTAGCTTGGTAACTGTTGTAAGCATTGCTTTTTCTTGTTGGTGTGCTTGAAGCTTATGAGGAATTACAGAAAGAAATGATGATGAA